GGGGGAGCGTAGGTAGGGGGTTGGAGAATATAGGGGAGGAAGAAGGTAAAATTAGCGGTTATCTGAGTATTTTTGTGCATACAAATCGAAAAAACAGGAATGTTATTCGAGAAGTCATGAGCGCAATCCTGCCCAGCTCATGTCTGTGTGAAGACATGAGCTGGGCAGGATTGCGCTCATGACGGGCGAGGCGCTCAATTGAGTGATGAAAGCAGTCGGAGTAGCGCTACAATAAGAGGTGGACCCTTATCTGCTAATGCGGAATTTCAGGTTCCTTATTCGGGAGTAGAAGGTTCTTTGAAGTTTCTGAATGGTTGAAGAAGTCCGAAATGTTGATTGCAAGGAACGAGTATGCTGAACGTTCATTGGATTGGATTTCCTCTCCTTGACAAGCAAGGATCTGTGACCAGTCGTGTCGGGCGCTCGAAAGAAATTCTTTCATACAAAGTACGAGCTGAAAATCGTGGAAAATGGTCAAGGATTTTCTTAGGTCTGGGTTCCGTTCTCGAGAGAAGATAATCACCCAAGATTATTCAAAGAGATTTCAATGTGAATGTGTCTGAGGAATTTATAAAAGATGAGGTGTACGGGTTCACCCGAAGCTTATTTAAATTTTTACTTTTTGCTTCAGGTTGAGATGATTATACATACATAGCTCAATCGACGCAGGAATATGCAAACAGAGACACGGTATTTTTCCCCAGAATCCTCACGGCAAAAGGGAGTGCTTCCGCGGTGGCTACCGTATCCTTTTACCGGGAATTCAAACATTTCCCTCCATAGCGCACGCCCGGGTAAGGCGAGCGCGACGCAATTCTCATGAAGAAGATACTTCACCCAGTGATGAAGCTACCCAACGCGTGTGTTCATTCTGTTGTGAAAGCTGAGAAGATGGGACACAACCAAAACTCATGTTCGTACTCATTTCAGGCCTATACTCCACTTATTCGAGCTTATCATAGAGAAACCTATTTCGCTCTCCTTTAAAATGATCGTTTTGCATTTGAAATGGCCATGGAAATAGAAAACTCGGTTCTGAAATTGATGTCGAACTACAGAATGTCTATAGATGTCAGCTTACAGTCAGATTTACATGAAGTAGGAGGCATGGACGGCCAGCGAAAGCATTTTGGTTTCTTTCGGTGACTCTACAAGGCGCTAACTTTACGCGTCTGTTTGTATGTCGGTGCATGCGTTCGTCGGCAAAAAGTCATGTAAGCACGAGGAGGATTGTGAAATGTCACGTGTGTCTCCGTTTGGGAATAAGCGAAACTTATTTGTTGTTCGCTGAATTTTACCCTTTTTTGGGTGGTGTATATGGTCGGTACACGGTGGCCATGTGCAAGTTTTGTTAGGCAAAACACAAGGAGCCCTGTATCAGCGGTGCAACAGGTATTTATACCCAGCTGATACGGGATGGCGAACATAATCGAATTATTAAATGTCAAAAAGCGCATTTTAACGTGTGTGATGAACATGTTACGAAATAGGAAGTTTGGATAGAGTTTCTTGATCTCACTAACCATTACCGATCACATGGTGATTTTAGCGTGCGCAGCTCAGCTAGTGGAACATAGTATAAGAGAAAAATACGGATCACATGATATGCCGGAAATGCATTTATTTTCTGGGCCAGTAAGGGGATTTAGACTCTAGGCTTTGAACCCTACCTAAGATTGAATGCTCTGAAAGGATATTGAAGAAAGGCTATGGAGGACGAGAATCACAGTGGCTCACACATATACCCAAAGAAAAGTGCTCTTAATAGAAATATACGATACGATAACCTGGGTTCATGGAGTGTTATTAGTTGGATTACACATGCCAGTAAGTATACTACCTGTTCAAAGTGGAGTCGAAGACGCGAATTCAGCTACATATTATCAGATCTAGTGAAACGCAACTTGTAGACTCATATAAAAAAATCGTATTTGGTACCCATCTTGTTTAGAACAGCAAGTAATATAGGGATTTCGCAGTGCTTCCCTTAGAGCAGCTACCGAAAATGCTAAAGTAATATGTGCTTCAGATAGTATCGGGTTTGTGCTATCTCACTTCCCAACAAATCGTGCATCGCGATCTTGCGGCTAGAAATTGCCTCGTCAGTGGAGAGAGCGATCTTCGGTGTTGTTTACCATCTCAGAGACCATCAATTACAGTGAAGGTTAACAGATGTCTTTTGTTCAAAGAACTTGAGTTCATTTTCATGATCCAGATCTCGGATTTCGGAATGTCTCGGCGACTGTATGGTCAAGCTGACTACTACAGAATGCACAATCATTCTCTCTTGCCCGTTCGTTGGCTGCCTCCCGAAGCAATCAATGACTGCAAGTTCAGCAGCAGCAGTGATGTCTGGTAAGTTCGGAAATCAGGACTGTTCCAATATTTAATGTATGCCCACATCAAACTGACCTTAAACCTCCTGCTTTGTAAAATTACAGACACTTTGAATTTCGAATTGAATTCTGTTTTTTGAAGGGCACTGGGAGTCACGATGTGGGAAGTCTTCAGCTATGGAGAAGTTCCTTTTGCGGAACTTAACAACTTCGAAATGGTTTCGTGTGCTATGGCTGGTATGTAGTAAACATTTGTTATGTTTAATACTGCTTAGCCGTACAGTTTTGTTATGGCTGAACTGCTTTATTAGTCAAGTTTTCGACTGAATCGTCGCCTTCAGGACCTGAAAATAGTTCGAAGCTGTAGTTCGAAGCTCCTGAGCTGTGACTTACCCGACCAAGCGAAACGCGCTATGCTAGTTGCAACGAATCCCGGAAACTAAAAGACGGGAAAGGTCCCAGCAAAAAGACCAACCTTCTGCGGTTCCACCAGCGTTACGTCCCACTCTATGTGAATAACAAGGAATCAATGAGACACTATTGGTGATCATAAGATAAGAACTATGCGGGTGATCTCCAAGTCCACAAAAGGGAATGAACGGCAAGAGTTCACTTGTTATGGCCGAGCACTCATTTCGGTTGTTCAGGCTCGGATTTTTCGTGCGGATATGTAACGCTTCCAGCATCTTTCTGGCACCGTTTTCATTCTCGTAGGCTAAGATTTTACATTCGATGTCGAAATCATTGCCTTGATGACCTTCTAGTCGGTGCCTCCCAAGTGGTGATAGTAGGCTTCCACTCCTTTTCCCTGCCAAATGCCTTTTTTTTGACACGTATGCCGAGCAGCCTTCCCGTCTCACCAATATATATTTCGTCACAGACTGAACAGCGAAGTTGATAAACCGTCCTTCGTTGTGTGCAATTTCCGTCTTTTCCAAACGGTCAAATGACGCGCAGTTATCCACAGAACATGCACGGTCTAGAGTCTATTGCGGATTAGTTGACGTTAGATATTGTCTCCTGGTAAGTTCATCAAGACAAGATCATTGGCCAAATCCGCGCGTGCTATGCACTGCCTGATTTGTGCGCTAATTTTGTCCGATATGAAAGGAAGCCGGAGATACACCATATTCTCAGGATTTCTTGGAAAATGCTTTTTCGAGCCTGATCTTCCGTGTTTTGCTCCATAACCATTCAACTTTGCTATCTCAGATGCTAGTTTACGTGACTCCTCTCGTTCCACTTTGCTTGTACAAGCTCCTGTCGTTGTTTTGTACATATTACGAATAACAGCACATTTTACAGCTCCAGGGTGGGCAAACTTTGCGTGGAGTAGATATCACATCATACCTTCCACTTGAAATGTTTATCTGCGTATTCAGATAAGGAATCCAGCCTCCATGCGGAACTTCTCTCCTGAACTTGATTTACTGTGATTGTCGGTTGAGAATATCAAATGATTCATCCATCTCGTGCTGCGTTGATATAATTACGCAGCAGTCATCGATATACCGGCAGTACAAAGCGGGCATGCGTGCTATAACTGGCTTTTCTATTCTGCTCATAAAACATATAGCTAGAACCGGTGCTAGCCGCTGACCCATAGCGAGTCCTCGGTTCTGAGAGAAGCATTGCCAGCTTCACTTGAAAATATAACAGTTTAGGCACTTCTTAATAAGAGCCATAGTGTGAACCTTGCTCAGTCCGAACGTCACCACTTCTGCTTCATGCTCATTTCAGAAACTGCTTGCAGAGCTTCGTTGTTGTTCACGTTCGTATAAAGCGCGGTTACATCGAATGACTCTATTACGCAGTTTTCTTGAAGCCTACACGAACACAAGCGGTCAAGAAATTAGCTGGTGTAATGTGAAAAAAATGTGTGCGGTGTATTTTACATAATCACAAGGGATTTCAGAATACCCTTTTTCCTCTCGCATGCCGAATATTCCGAGCGCCATCCAATGAGCCCCCTCCATTCAAAACCTATCAGGAGTTTCACTTCAACAACTACGCAGTTTGCAGGAAAACCCTCCTGTGCTACTAATTAATAGCGGATAGGGCGAACTCGTTAAATTACTTCAGCATTAGAAATTTCTGAATTTTGACGACCATAATGTGGGACACTCTGTAGCTACTCTGTGTGCTGGTCATATTGTTCTCTGCCTGCCCAGGCGGTGATAACAAATTCGCTGACGCTGGAGACGATGGGTGCTTGATAACTTATTTACACTGTGATCTGAGCAAAATTTTGATGCTCAGTTCCTCAATAATGTAAGAATAGTTCCTCGAGAATCTATTTCAACTCTAATATTCCATCTTCGNCAGCTCGAATTGGCGTTTCTCCCATTCACAGCAGAGCGCTGATGTTAAACCGTGAAGGAAACAGAGGAGGAGATGAACGAAGATGTTGGTTACCGAAAGGACGATAGCCGGAAGCATCATATGATGATCTCACTAGCGACAGTGTGGACAGATGGCATTGTGATCACAGAACACAGGCGACCACCGCATAGGCGCATATAACCTAAGCCACCCGTGGTGCCGTTGCTCATCGATTTGCTGATAACGTCTCCATTCTTCCCTGCCAGGAGCCAATGTAGCTGATAAAACTTTTCTGCTTGAGAGACTTTGGCTATAAGTATACCGATCCTTCCAGTAGGATTTCGTGAAGACGTCTTGCCATCTAGCTGGAGCGTTCTAGTGTTCGTTTGAAGTTTCGAGGAAGTCTCTGCGGCGCAATTGAAAGCAGGAACACCCCAACTTTTCTTATTCTGTTCAGAAGAGGAGTTCAGGATTGGAAAGTTTGGAATAGGGGACAGGAACGAGAACGGAAATTGTCTGGAAGGACTCCTGTCCGCGAATTTTGTAATTGGTACCATCTTTCTGCAGTGGTTCTAATCATCGACTCCTTCCCGCTAAGATCAGATTCAGTCACAAACTGGAAAAGATCTCTCAGCATCGCGCAAAGAGCTCGAAGAATGTTCTATACGACCAAGATGTTCTGTATGACGTCTTTCCCGATATGACTGGCAGGTCTCGGAAGAATCGACCAAAGATTACAATGCACCGATTCGGGGTCTCCTCAATTGTGCTGAACAGGCCGTGCCTCCTCGAATGGATACCTCCGCTCGCATTTGTGATGCGACGAAGGATCTTCTCAGAACAAGAAGGAACTGGAGGCTTGACCAAAACGCCACACACCTTGAAAGGCTGCAAGCGAAAATCAGTTGCAGACAGTCAGTGCGGCGAGACCTTCAGCTGTACATTGAGAGGAAACTACTGGAGGCAGCCTTGAACAGAACTAGTCTGAGAAAATGCCATCGGGATCCCCAGAACTACAGTATTCCACTTTCGTGTCTGAAGAAACAGTTCGAAACAATCACAACATCGAGATCCGAGATGGATGAAGTTACGCTGAGGTTCTGCACCAGCCTGTTCCGATCCACGACACATGTGTGAAAACCAGAAATCCCCACTGGCGGAACAGCACCTCGAATCCTTCCTTCGGAGATTAGAGTTGCGATTGCGAGCATGAAAAGGAGCACAGCTTCAGGCCCCGACAAGATCTCAGCCGACCTACTCCGTGCAGGTGGCTTCAAACTTCATGCGCTTCTCGCAACACACATGACATCCTACCTCCAGGAGGAGAAGATCCTCAACCAGAAGAGGAACTCGCGGATGATCATTTTTCACAAGAAGGGATGTCGGGATGATCTTTGCAACTACCGCCCAATAAGCTTGTTAAGCGTGCTTTGCTATTCACGAAGATCAAGCTATTCACGAAGACCCGCACATCGCGAACGTTGGATGGAGCTTAACCTGTAGAGCAGGCCGGATTCAACTGCTTAGACCAAATCCAAACGGCCGCAGTGATCATAAAAGTGGGACGAGAATGCCGAATACCTCTTGTCTATACCTTTGTTGACTACGAAAGCTTTTGACAGCGTCGAAACGAATGCGGTTCTGTCAGCACTAGCCGATCNTGGATTGGACCCTCCCTACATAAGAACCCTAGCTGACTGCAGTAGTCAATGCAGTGCAGCGGTGAAGCTGTTCCAGCGACTTCTCCCCATTCCCGTGGGGGAGGGCGTGAAACAATGCGACACTATTTTGCCGAAGCTGTTCACAGCCGGACTGGAGGGGGTTATGAAGTCGCTAGACTGGGAGAGAAAGGGCATTCGTTTGGTGTCCGGTTCCTCTCAAATCTCCGCTTTGCGGACGACATCATTCTCTTTTCAAGAAGCATTGCGGGAGCTGAGACTATGCTTGCTCAGCTTAATAAAGCAGGAAAGAGAGTAGGGCTGGCTGGTAGGCATCAACCAAACAGAGACGCAGTTTATGAAGAATGCTTGGGCTGACAAAGGTCAAATAAAGATCGATGGTACAGCTATTAAGGAGACCTCGTCCCGCGTGTGTCTCGGGCGTTTCATGAATATAAACAACGACATGAGGGAAGACTGGCGAGACGGCAGAAAACAGCGTGGGCAGCCCTCAGACCTTTGAAAGAGTTCACTATCGTCTGGCCGAACTTTGCGCTAATCTGTTTGATTCCACCGTTCTTCTTGCGCTCTGTTACGGGTCGTAGACTTGGGCGACCAGTGCATCCACGTCAAGGGCTTTGTCTACAAGTCACAGAGCGCTCGAGCGATGTCTTTTGAGGTTCATTCGTCTCACGCAATATCGAGCCGGTCTCCGCAGCCCCGATATGCGCAGAATGTCTCGACTCCGCGATCCGGTAGAATACGTGAAGAACGCAAAATTTCAGTGGGAAGAGATGATGATAAATCGACAAGAAGGACAGTCGAGTGGGCTCCCGTAGGATCTTCACGAGCTAAGAGTAGACCTGCTGTGAAATGGAGGGATGTGCTTGTCGATCACATGAAACAGCTGCGACAGCAACTGAACGACTCCTCACATCGTCATCTTCGTCGAATTCCGAGACGACCGTGGATGGCGATCTAGAAAGACAGAAGCGAATGCTTTGTTGCTGATGCTCTCACATCAGTGGAGACGAGCCGTATAGCCGTATAAGTATAAGTATAAGAACTCAGCCATTCGAGCTCCACAAAATGGCGCTTACAATTGCACCTTCTTCAAAGCTCTGTTCTGAAAAAGCTCGCGTGCATGACATACAGGGCGAAAGAGGTACAGTGGCAAGAGATGGCGCACTGTCAGACGCACGGTCACGGGTTTGAATCCGGATCGATAGCCTCCCAGATCAAACAAACTTTCCACTGATACGAGT